ACAGACAAACAAAGGAGAAAGATAAGGTGCTGTCCCAACTTCATTTTCCCTATAACACAGCTGGGAAGAAGCCACACTTAGATGAGCCCCGGATATGGCTCATCAATTAGCATCTGTGCCTTAACCTGCTTCTCCCTCCACTCTTTAGGGGTGGAAAGTTTCTGACTCCAGAGCAATCAGGAAAGTCTCCAGCTTGGATCCAGAGGGGCCAGGAAAGGAGCGGACAATACCAGATCCAATGCCCTCATCCTGAAACAAACCACAACCCCAAAATTCCCACAGCGAAGGTGTGAAGGATACTCACTGTCCCTAGCACTCCCCTCTTCCTTTCTGTTGATGAGCAAAAATCTAGGACTCTCGGGGCAAAACGGAAGGGCTGCGCTTTGCAGGACAGCTGGAATGATGGTGAAGCCCAAAAGCAGGGGCCAAAGCTCTTCAGTCCCCATGATGACTTTCAGACCAAAGATCTAGAAACCAGATAAAGATGATACTTTATAAAGTTCATACTTTATATAAGCCACGAGTCAGTTTAAAAAAAAATGGGTGGCTCAGTCAGTTATCTGCCCTTGGCTCAGGTCAGGATCCCAGGTTTCTGGGATCCAGTCTGCACTGGGCTCTCTGCTCAGCAGGGCGTCTGCTTCTCCCTCTGCCCCTAGCCCTCCTCTCCTTACGTGTGCTCTCTCTCTCGCAAAAATAAATCAGAAAAAATTTTCAGAAAATCATCCATTCTTTTACCACAGGAAAAGATAAATTCTGTTTCTTCTCCTTTCTCTACCCTGCCTGCTTCTTTAGCCACCTGTGAGCTATAGTAATAATACCGGAAACTGACATATAGTTGAATATAGGTCAGATGTTCCTGTCCAGAAACTGACACGCATTAAGTATGAGGTCTAGAGTACCTGAGCCACCAGGATCCCGATGACGATGCCCAGCTGGTTGAGAGTGCCAAAGGCCCCCCGGAGGGCAGTGGGAGAGACCTCGCCGATGTACATGGGCACAAAACCTGTGCAGAGGCCGCAGAAGAGGCCAATAACCAACCGGCCCAGGATCAGCATTCCAACCGACCAGGCTATTTTGCAGAACCCCATAAGGCAGCCACCAGCGACAGCCAAGAGGTTGACAATGAGCATTGAATTGCGCCTGAAAAGGTTAAAAAACAAGAGAAGTTAGCAAAATAGGCCAGGCCGGAACTTCTCTCTTTCCTTCTCTCTCTACCCTTCTCCAGGCTCATGTTATCTACTCTTCCGGTTTTAAGTTCTCCTCTTTCTGTTATCAGAACATTTCTAGTTGCGCTAAGATCAATGGTTCTTACACCTCTGTAGGCATAAAAGTCACCTAGAGAACTTGTTTAAGATTCTTTTAATTCCCAGCGGTAGCCAGGGTGGTAGCAAGCACAAAGGCTAGTAGTTCTCAAAGTTGTCCACAAACTAACAGCATCAGCTAGAAATAGGCAAGAAATTAAAACTGTCCCACCCCATCCCAATTTAGTAAATCATTGGATTGCTCTGGGACGGAGCAATCTGTTCCCAAAAGCCGTCCTGGTGATCTGATTCTAGCTAAGGTCCGAGAACCACTGCCCTGGGCAATTCTCATACAGCTGCTCCACGAACACACTCAAGAGAAATTTCTGGACCTGTGCTGAAATTTTGATGCTTCTTACTGCATTTTGTTGTAATGTAGTTGCTTAGATGGCACAAACATACTAATGAAAACAGATTTCAGACAAAAGTTTTCTATGCCCAGAAAGTTACACAGCTTCAGCTCTCTCGCTCCCGGCTACCCTGTGGTGAAGGCCACTTACAGTAAGTATACTTTGATAGCCAGTAGAAAATAATAAATGACTGCGTCTATGTGTTAAACGTGGGAGGCAAAGCCACAGAAACAACTAGAGGAAGACGGAAGAGATTAACAGTGAAAAATCACTGCAGATGTTTGGAAGATACTTCTGGGACTGTGCCCCTGGGTGGCCTGCTGGAATTACCCGGGGAGTTCTGAAACGCTGGTACTTTTTTTTTTTTTAATTGTTATGTTAATCACCATATATTACATCATTAGCTTTTGATGTAGTGTTCCATGATTCATCATTTGCGTAAAACACCCAGTGCTCTTTGCAGAACGTGCCCTCTTTAATACCCATCACCAGGCTAACCCATCCCCTCACACCCCTCTCCTCTAGAACCCTCATTATGTTTTTAAGAGTCCATCAGTCTCTCATGGTTCATCTCCCCCTCCGATTCCCCCCCTTTCATTCTTCCCCTCCTTTTATTTCTTCTTTTTTAACATACAATGTATTATTTGTGAAACGCTGGTACTTTTAAAAGCTCCCTGGGAGATCCTAAATGTGCAGCCAAAGGAGAGAACCTGCTGTTAAGAGAAAAATTTCATCCCTCATGCTCACTTTTACCTTTCTCTGCATTCCTTTCCTGGTTTCCCTACTTCCTCTATCAGGTTCTTTTGCTAATAAAATAAAGATAGGGAGAAAGGCATTGAATTGGAGGGCCACATTAAAATTTCAATGACTTTAGTACACACAAGGTGGCCTCAAAAATGCAAACACAGCAAACACCAAACATTATCAAGTAAAATGGGTTGCTTTTAAATTTTTTTAGAGGTTGAATTCTATTTGTGTTTCCAGAACGTCTAAATTAGCAAATGAAATGGTTTCTTCACCAGTCATTACTGAAAGTATTCTGCTAAGACATTTTATTAAGTCAGCAAGAATGAGAAGACTCAATTTTCTTTTGGGGGGAAAAAATGTCAGTTATTGGACCATTATCCACATTTGCCACAGGCCAAGGATTATAAAATGTTTCCTCCCAATCCTGCCTTGTAAACACAAGCATGAAATCCCAAATGTTTCAAGAAAAGCAAACAACTCCTGACCTTGTAAATCAAGTAGGCTTCTGGGAAATTCCATAGTGCACTTTATTGCAGAGAGTACTGAATTAGCTTCAGCTGCACTCAAAGGTAATCTCTTGATGGGCAGCCGAGCTCCAAGCAGCCCTATTCAGTACCAGTTGGCCTAAATTTGCCTCCATGGCAATTTGGGACGCTCTCATTCAAATGCGTCATCACCTCCCCATCCTAATTCCCAATACCTGTTCTCAATGCAACCAGTATAGCCCCCCTCCTTGCCCAGTTTCTGGTCAATACCTGCCAAAGCGGTTGACAAAGAGTCCAACGGAGAAGGAGCCAATCATACCACCAACGGAGAAGATGGCCACAGACAAGGACCAGAGGGAAGTGAGTAACACCTCAGTGGGACGGTCGTTCAACGTCTCCTCCAGGGTGTAATTGAGAAAGTCCTTTATGATCTGCCAATTAAAATGATTGGTGGGCAGATTGTTACAGCTGAATGAGAAGGGGCAAATATCGGGGATCTTCCCCTCCCTAAGAAAACACCATTACAATGACTGGTAGAGGATCAAGTAAATGAATGGGTGGGGATGGAAGAGATAGAGAACCTTTGGAGGTTCATGGTAGCTCTGAAAAGAACAATTTTGATTTGTCCTGAAAATCCCAGTAGGTAGTTAGCACTGATGTTCAGTGACTACCCCAGTCCTCCCCTAAGACCCTCCCACCCTCCTTGTAACTAACCCCTGAGGGATAATAAAGGAAGTGTATCACGATAGCGTGAGGGGAAGCACGGATACAGTCCAGTCAAGGGTATGGGGAGCAACTGAGCTTTTTGCTTTAATGATTCAGTTAGACTTCCCCACCAATGTTATTCTGCCTCTTCAGCCTTCACCAAGCTAGATACCAAGTTTGTCTGAAATTCTTCGTTCTTGAAACCCTACTTAAAGGAATAATTTACCTATTCCAAATTCTAACTCTGGTCACCTGGCACTCACCATCTCAGGAGCATTGATGACTCCGGTGTTGTAGCCAAACTGGAAAGAGCCTATTGTAGCAATGGAGATGGCAAAGATCAGAGGCGCTGTGACCTGGGGTGGAGGAGGGGGGAAGGGAAGAAACAGTCCTTAAAGCTCTCGGCTGATGATTGTCTCTTATTAATTAAGGAGAGATATTAGGAGCACTCGGCCTATGAGTGGTATGAAAAGAACAAAAACTTAACGAAATTTAGGTAACGAATGGGGGAACACAAAAGAACAGGTTATACTGAAGAACTTCTCCGGAGATATACAGACAACCACGTAAACGGGAAAAGCGGCAAGAAAATTTGGGAAGAAAGTTAAGAGGAACTGGGTTAAGTCGTTTCAAATTTAAAAAAAAGTTGCCCCATGTAAAAGCAAGCTTAGAACTGCAGGGAAAGAGAGCCTTGGGATTCCTAAAAAATGGATTCTTTTGGAAACAGCTAGATCCAGGGCTGTCTCCTCCTGTACCCCAGATCCCACTGAAGCCCAGAGTGGTGGTGGTGGTATCTTCACCACTGGGCTGTTCGTAGGGCTCTGGATAATGTAATCTACAAAATCTACCCAGGGTATCCTGGTCCCATTTGAAATTCTTCCTGTTTACTTCGTTTTGTACCACTACCCCCAACCACCAGGGGGAGAGCACAAGCTCACTCCCAACCTAAGAGACTGGAGATGTGGGGAGAAGGGAGTCATCTCTCACCTTGCTGGGAGTAATTCAAGTGTGTGTTTATCTTAGATTTCCAGCTCAAGGTAAGCTCAATTTTTACGGCTGAGGACATCCTTCCCTACCTTAAACTCCCTCCCCCTTTTAGGTTAGACGGACTGGCCAGCCAGAAGTTTCAGTTCTCCAAGTTGACCTCCCACCCCAGACAACCTGGCGTTAAGTACCCGAGTGGCCCCGCCTGCACACAGCTCTTTCTGTTTAATCCATTTCTCATCCGTAATGACCTCTTCCTTCTGCCTCGCCTCATCCTTTACTATTCTTGAGGGCCTTTTTCTCCTCCCTGTTTTTTCATCCCTTCTCTCTTACCTTCCTTCATTTTCAAGTAAGTTGACCTTGGTGACAATGATTTTCTCCCAGCAAATATACTGCATACGTAACACACAGTAACACATTAATGTATCGTGCACTCACAATCACAACCACAACTGGTACAACTGATTCTCTCTTAGGCTCCACAGACTTGTATACGTTATAGAATAGATGGCTGGACACTGGCCCATTCCCTCAAACAAATCCCAGGTCCTTTCAAGCTTTAATGCTTCCAGAGGAATCTTCCTGCTGGCTCACGAGACCCACACTTGTAATCAACACAGCCAAGCAGCCTGGAACACTCAACCATCTCACCCCCAGATCCTCAGTAGCATGTGATTATGCTAAAAAACAAAACAAAACCATCAACAACCCTGAGAAACACACAAAACTTCTCCAGGTGACTCTCCCTGTGACAGGAAGGTGAGTGGGACTGGGAGAAGTCCTTTATAGGCTGTGACATCCAAAGAAAACTGGAGGAACCACGGCATCAGAGGCTGGAGAAGAAATAAGAAGGCCTGATGGTGGCTAGATGACTTAGAATAAAACAGAGCGCAGCAATCTCCATTAAAATCAGCCTTTCTGAGTGTACCCCAAACAAGCAAAAATAACTGGAATTGTATTAGTCTTACCTTCTGTGTCCCCATGGCCCTAAACAAAGATCTAGGAGTGGGAATCCCAGAGACACCTCTTCCAGTCAACAAAGCCCCCAAAATATCCTTCTCGACAGCAAGATTTATTCCCGATGCCCAGCACCGATGCACATCTCACCCTCACTCTCCGGTAGTGAGCTGGAGCCACGCATTTATAATCTCCGCAAAGGGTGGAGCCTGCAAAGGGAGACAAGCCCCCCCCCCCCCCCCCCGCCCAACCCCACCCTACACCGGCTGGAAGGATCCCGTGAGCTCTCGGAATTTTGTGACCTCAAACTCTGCCCCCGCCCTAGGCAACAACTCCCTCCCCGCCCCCCGCCCCCATTTTAAAACCACATCCTATACCCTGCCCACTCTGGTTTTTTGGTTTTTTTTTAAACTCGTCCTCCTTCCCTCTTGTAATAGGCGCGATAGCCTCTTAGTTTCACAGATACAATGCTACCAGAAAAGCCTGGAGGGAGGGCAAATTCACTTCCAATTTTTGTTCTCGCATCAGCTGGGAATTAAGGCAATCTATAAAGAGATGAGACTAAATGCTGTTTATATAAGATAAAGTCGACTGGGTGCTGCTCTCTGAGAGTTAAGATTGTTTGAAGGAGTGTAAGCAGAAAGATTCACAATGCTATGAATTACCAGCTGCTTTTTGATTATAGGCTGGGTCTACAATCTTGAAGGGAAAGGAAGGGCAGTCTGCAGAAGAAAAGCTAGCAAGGGAAGAATTGGGCCAGTTTTTGGCTCTCCTTGTCCTCTGATGAGCACAGTCTCTCCTGGGAGATAGAAAACCTCAGTATCTGGGAACCAGACCAACTCCCCTGGACTGCAGGAAGGAGAGAATCAACTGCTTATGGGATACAATTCAAACTCCTTAATATGGCATTCACCCTACTACCTCTTCTGAATCCTACCCGTTCTGCAATATTTTGCCTCTAGTCTCAGGTTTATAGCATCTAGAGATGGAACCATGACCAAATTCAGTTAAACAGGTGTTTGCTGCGTGCACACTACATGTCAGTTACTTTCCATGAAGTTGGGGATTCATCAGTAGGTAGGACAAAAAATGTCCTGGCTTTTAGGGAATGCATAGCATTTCCCTTTTATTGTGTTAGGAGTTAGTTGGACAGTTAGGTGGTCAGGGTCCCCAACAAGAAAATATGGGGTCAGGGCAGCTAAAATAAAATTGCACTGACATCTTGTTCTGCAGCTTAGACAGAACTACACTATTTTGCTTTGCAGCCTTTGCAGAAATGACTTCTGCAAAACATCCTAAAAGAAGACAATTAACCACAAAGCACTTGTCCCTATCACGGACAAGGGACAGTTAAGACATAAGCCCCCAGACATCAAAAAAGACTATCAGCATAGAGACCTTAACGTAATAGGTAGACAGATTTCCTGACCATAGCTCTAACTGGCACGACTCAGCACACCCTGATTGCTTAAGATAATTCCGCAAAAGAGCTTACAAAAACCCCTAAACTTAGACACTCTGGGGGCAACCCATTCAGGGCCCATCCCCCTCCCTCCCTGGGAGGTTTATACTCTTACTCAATAAACGTTTCTTTGCTGCCCACCAGTCTTTATCTTCGAAGCTGCATGACCAAGGACCTCAGGCACTAAGGGGACAAAAATCCTGTAACACGTCTACTTACAAAATAAAAAAGGGACAAGCCCAACTGATTTTTAACACAACTGGAGAGAATGATCAATAGCCAATTAATTACGGGCTGTGAATTTCTTGAAAGAAGTGTGAGATAAGTATTTGATTACTCAGCCATACAAGAAGATAGAGCAAGATGAGTAGGAAAAACAGGTAAGAAAAATGTGAACTGAGGAAGATGAAGGATAATGAAAGGAGAGAGAGGGAGAAGGCCCCAGGGTGAGAGTAAATGAAGAAAACAATTTAGTTCTGATTAAAGATTTGGAAGTGAGAGATAGTATCAAGGCTTTGCTGGCGGGGCGCGGGAGGTGGGGAGGGTTGGGGGAGTGGAGGCAGGGGGCGGGAATTTCAATGGTCAATTTCCTAAGGCCATTAATTTGTAGCCTAGCAACAACTTCACTATGTGGCAAGAGGATGAGCAGCGACCCAGCACAGTAATGGGACCGAATTTTCCTAGTTGGTAAACTGGTGGAAGTGCATCTTTCTTTTGGGTTTTGGTTGCGGGCCTATAATTCAAACTGATGCTACTGGACCTGAAACAAACCAGATTATGTGGTCTCTCTCACTTTTTTTTAAAAAAATGAGGATATTTTCTAAATCTGTTAGTTGAGAGAACCAAGTATGAGTGAAACGTGACATCCAAGAAAACCTTCCCTGAGGTCACACCTCCCCTCCCCCACCTCCTTCCTGTCCTTCCAGGACACACTGAGCCTAGAGGCCCCTTAGTTACCACGGGAACTGAATTTAGCGGCCATAGGTCAAAGAATATCCTGTATGGCTGTGAGGTCCAATAGAAATATAATCCAAGCTATTTATGTAATATAAAATGTGCTAGTAGCCACATTAAAAATTTTAAAAGAAACAAAAGACGGTAGTTTAAATAATTATTTTATTTGACCCACTAAAGCCCAAATAATATCGTTTCAGTATGACATCAATATAACAATTATGACTAAGGTAGTTTATTCCCCCCTCACTAAGTCTTTGAAATTCAGTGTATATTTCACGTTTATTAATTCATCTCCATTTTTAGACTTTAAGTTTTCTACAGTTAAATATGGCATCTATCAAAACAACGAAGTTGTGTTTGATGGGAAAATATTTTAAATTGCTCTGATTTTAAATTAATAAAAACCAACAATTCAGTTTCTCAGTTGTACTAACCACACGTAAGTACTCAACAGCCACATGAGCCTTGTGGCTGGACCTTGCTTAGAGTAAGAAGACCATGATGCTCTGTTTTCCTCTGGTCTTTTCTAGGTCCTTTCTTATCTTTGCTTTTATTTATGACTTGTCTCACCGTGTCACTCTTGGCTCTAAATCACTTTATCTTTTCTTCCTCCCTCTTCCTAGGTTTAGTAGAATTAGTCTTTATGGTTTGCAAAAGCAAATTACACGAGTAAAAGTACAAAGTGGGTCTGTATTACCCCCTTCATTTACTCAGAGCAGGCTCCGATGTAATTCCAGAACACAGTATCTGCCCCAGTAATTATTTGCCCAATGGTTAATGAAAGAATACATGTAATTGTGAAGATGCAGAATTTATGTGTCCCAAATTAATTTGTGTAAAACAGCTATGGAGAAAGACAACACTGAAGGTTAAGTTTTAGATGTGTGAATTCTGTCGGATATTTTCTTCTTTTTAAAATTTTTTTTTTTTTAAGATTTTATTTATTTATCTGAGAGAGAGAGAGAATGAGAGACAGAGAGCACGAGAGGGAAGAGGGTCAGAGGGAGAAGCGGACTCCCCCCGAGCAGGGAGCCCGATGCGGACTCGATCGCGGGACTCCAGGATCATGACCCGAAGGCGGTCGCTCAACCAACTGAGCTACCCAGGTGCCCTCGGATATTTTCTTTTTGGTGAAAAAGGAGGGAGGGCAAAAGGGAGACAGATCTGAAATATATTTTGTCTGGCCAACTCAGCCTGAGAAAATTACCTTTCAAAAGTTAAGCAAGTTAATAGGGACAGCAGTCTACTTCTAGCAATATATGTACTTTTAAAGGTTACAACTGGAATTCAACTTTGAATCTCAAGCATCTAAAAGCATGCTGAATGTGGTGCGATAAATCCTTCTTGAGTAAGAGGGATCTGATAAAGTGCTGACCAGAAACCAGTCAGTGTTGGGCTTATCCCCAGAGTAAGAGACGCCCAAGTTAAGCAATCCTCACCCTGGGGCAATACATAACAGTTGTGCAATACAACTGTTGTTTTAGGGAGATCAGTTGGTTGATTGGGGTCTTCGAGGCACTTTGAGAGCAGGTCTCAGTAGAATCCCAGCTCCAGTCAGCCCGGGATTACAACTCTGGTGATTAATCTGGTGATTATGCTACAGGAAGGCCAGCAAGGTAAAGGTCCTACAACATGGGGGTCCTGTATCATTCGAGTCCAGTGAGGTGTTCTTCCATCTTTACTGAAAACAAAAGAAGAAATGTGGTGGATACATTCAAAAATGGAATAGATTGGGAAGAAATGTTATGAAATTCCCACCTAATAGTTTAATGTAGGTTTGCTAAGAAGAAAAGTCATGAATAAATAATGGCCTGAAATGTCTTAGTCCAAACACAGGTATCTGCAGACCATACATCTCAATCCTAGCTTCTTGCTGCTCTGTGGGAGGATGTTTGCTACTGTGATAACTGAGTAGGAAAACAAACAAACCAAAAAATCCCAAAATCAAGGAATACAGGACTTTAAACACGGAGAGTTAAAGACAGAGAAAACTGCCTCTTTCATAGAACATTGTAATGGCATTTCAAGGCACACACAAAAAAGCTCATGCCTACTTTAAAAATTGCCAGAGTTAATTCTACTCTTTGCTCGCATTTGTAATTTTTCTCATAAAGAACAACTTTTGTTGCATGTTACTTACTAATCTTCCTCTACTGGGTTCGGTGTAGTAAAAATTCATCTTGAATGTGAAAACACCAGGGTAAAGAAAGAAAAAATTTGAGAAATGTTGATTTTCCTGTCTAAACTGGGTTTCAACCGTTCATCACTCCAGTTGATCCTGAAGCTCTCAGACCCGTATCACTTTCTAAGGGGCTCTCCCCTCCTCCAATTTCCTTCAAAAATCAATCTATCACGTACCAGTGCTAGATGAATTATACTACATCAAAATGACTATCATATCATTCTCCTACTCATATATCTTCAATGGTTATTGAATAAAGTCTACATCAGTGCCGTCCAACAGAAACATAATGTGAGCCACATAAGAAATTTAAAATTTTCCAGTAGTCCCGTTTTAAAAGAGTGAAAAGAAATGAGTTCATTTCAATATTATATTTTATTTAAACTAATATATGCCAAATATTGTCCTTTCAACCTGTACATAAT